ATTAAACTTTGCTTTATTTCCCTAAATTTTGCTCTTGCCTGTAAGTTTTTAGTAGTTTATAAAAAGTCTTCTTTTAACATTTTCAAAGTCTCCAAACTACTACTACGAAGGGATATTATTTTAGTGGAAAATAGCCATATGGTTTCTGGGAAGGACTATAATAAAAGGAATAAGTTTAATTAGAAGCAGGAAAGATTTGGTTACATACAAGAGCCAACAAAATATGCTCCAACCCAAGGGTAAGTGTAAGCACTGTCTAGAGATTTCCAGGAGAAGGCTGCGAGGAACTTTCCTGGAATATTTTATGTCCTATGCAGCCTGGTTGGATTCCCTAATCCGTTTCCAGACTTCTCACCGGGGAAAGAGGCATACTAGTAGGATGTAACTCATGGGAGAGTTCGGGTGATACAAACGAAGACTGCCATGGGTTCAGGCATCAACTTATTTTACCCCAAAGTTTCATCTCTCAAATTTAATTTTTGTGACTTGAATCATATCTTTAAACACAGCAGAGGCGTGGGCCAAGTTGTGGATAAACAGTCCTTCGATCAGTGCCTAGAGGGGAGAGTGGGAGACCTGGAGTCCATGCTGCCTCCTTCTGTGCCCTGGATCCTGAGAGAATTCCCCTCTAGAGCCTCGGTCCTTGCCTCTGGGAGAGAAAAGGAGCTCTCAATTGGATGGAGGTGGCCTCCTGGTTCCAAGAACCCTGGAAACATGGGCTGCAAACACATAAGTACTCTTGGAAAGGGAGGAGCCAGCTCCCTGGTTATCAAGCTGTCTGGCCAGCTACAAAATGTGCACATGGAACAGACAGAAAGCCATCCTTGGCTAGGACCTGGCATTGTCTCACATGCAACCCTCCTGGCAGCAACAGGGCCTTGCTCAGTACCGCTTCTGAAGGAAGAGTGTGAATATTTTAGCCGCAAGCTAACGTAGACATCAAGCTCGCATAGTACAAAAAGTAGACCTTTTGGAGAAGATAATACTCGAGGCTCAGACGGGGAAAAAATCTGCCACAGGTAGGATTAAAAGAGACTTTGTATCTGCGTAAAAATAATTCATTTAAGTTGATGAAAATTAACACAAAATTGCAACAGATAAAGAGGCAAGGGTTGAATGAAATAATTCCCATGTTGAATTACTAGCAATAAATTTTAAAATGGGGAAATTCCTGGGGCGCCTGGGTGGCGCAGTCGGTTAAGCGTCCGACTTCAGCCAGGTCGCGATCTCGCGGTCCGTGAGTTCGAGCCCCGCGTCGGGCTCTGGGCTGATGGCTCAGAGCCTGGAGCCTGTTTCCGATTCTGTGTCTCCCTCTCTCTCTGCCCCTCCCCCGTTCATGCTCTGTCTCTCTCTGTCCCAAAAATAAATAAAACGTTGAAAAAAAAATTAAAAATAAATAAATAAATAAAATGGGGAAATTCCTTAATTTTTTGGTAATCAAAGAAAAGCATGTCACATCGCTGAAGTCTCATTTAATTAAATTAACAAAAATTAAAATATGCCACTACCTTCAAGGGATGATGTACTAGTGGGATAGGTTTGTTCATATAATGCTGGATTGACGCCACTCTTTCTAAATCGGTCTCATAAGTATTTTGACAAGAACCATAATTATCTTCAAATTCTTTCACTGGGGATTTATCCTAGGTTCAATTTATCCCAAGGTTATTCAAATTGAGGGGAAAAAAATCACTTGCAGCCTTATCAAAAAGAGAAAGAAAGTTAATAAGATGAGAGTACTAACAGTAGGTATATGGTTACATAGAATGAGATCAATTTGATGGGATGTTAATCATAATGATAGTTATTAAATTTAAGTTTCAACGTATACATGTTCTCAGTGAATGTTAAGTGAGAAAAAGGCAGCTTCAACTATCGTATATACAGTATAACAATCATGTGCAAGATACATACAGATGGGGACCAATGGAAAGAGAACACATCAAAAAAATTGTTGCTATGTAAAGAAAAATGGAATGACTTTTAAACATCTCAATAACGCTGCTATTATAATTCTTATATAAATTGTGAAAATCATGGAGGAAAGTTAGAAAAGAGGTGGACTGATATTAAAAGACATGAAATCTAAAAATGGAAATTTTGGCCAAATGATAGCTCTTAGTAGAAGCTAGAGGATAACAAAACAATCTTTCCTCTGGCTCTTAGCCAAAGAGAATTCCTTGAATTGGAAGTTACTTAGGACATTTCAGATTACTGTAGAACAAAAGGCAAAAAATACTGAAAAATTCAAAGAAAAGACAATAGTTTCCTCTATTTTATATACCTCCAACTGAAATAAACACTTTTTAAAGTGCTGCCTGGAAGAATAAATATTGTTAAAATGTCAATACTACCCAAAGCTATCTACACATTCAATGCAATCCCAATCAAAATTGCACCAGCATTCTTCTCGAAGCTAGAACAAGCAATCCTAAAATTCATATGGAACCACAAAAGGCCCCGAATAGCCAAAGTAATTTTGAAGAAGAAGACCAAAGCAGGAGGCATCACAATCCCAGACTTTAGCCTCTACTACAAAGCTGTCATCATCAAGACAGCATGGTATTGGCACAAAAACAGACACATAGACCAATGGAATAGAATAGAAACCCCAGAACTAGACTCACAAAAGTATGGCCAATTAATCTTTGACAAAGCAGAAAAGAATATCCAATGGAAAAAGGAGAGTCTCTTTACAAATGGTACTGGGAGAATTGGATAGCAAAATGCAGAAGAATGAAACTAGACCACTTTCTTACACCATTCACAAAAATAAAACTCAAAATGGATAAAGGACCTGAATGTGAGACAGGAAACCGTCAAAACCCTAGAGGAGAAAGCAGGAAAAAAACCTCTCTGACCTCAGCTGCAGCAATTTCTTACTTGACACATCCCCAAAGGCAAGGGAATTAAAAGCAAAAATGAACTATTGGGACCTCATCAAGATAAAAAGCTTCTGCACAGCAAAGGAAACAATGAACAAAACTAAAAGGAAACCAACAGAATGGGAAAAGATATTTGCAAATGACATATCGGACAAAGGGCTAGTATCCAAAATATAAAGTGCTCATCAAACTCCACACCCAAAAAACAAATAATCCAGTGAAGAAATGGGCAGAAAACATGAATAGACACTTCTCTAAAGAAGACATCCAGATGGCCAACAGGCACATGAAAAGATGCTCAATGGCACTCCTCATCAGGGAAATACAAATCAAAACCACACTCAGATATCACCTCACGCCAGTCAGAGTGGCCAAAATGAACAAATCAGGAGACTATAGATGCTGTAGATGCTGGAGAGGATGTGGAGAAACGGGAACCCTCTTGCACTGTTGGTGGGAATGCAAATTGGTGCAGCCACTCTGGAAAACAGTGTGGAGGTTCCTCAAAAAATTAAAAATAAACCTATCCTATGACCCAGCAATAGCACTGCTAGGAATTTACTCAAGGGATACAGGAGTACTGATGCATAGGGGCACTTGTACCCCAATGTTTATAGCAGCACTCTCAACAATAGCCAAATTGTGAAAAAAGCCTAAATGTCCATCAACTGATGAATGGATAAAGAAATTGTGGTTTATATACACAATGGAATACTACTTGGCAATGAGAAAGACTGAAATATGGCCCTTTGTAGCAACATGGATGGAACTGGAGAGTGTGATGCTAAGTGAAATAAGCCATACAGAGAAAGACAGATACCATATGGTTTCACTCTTATGTGGATCCTGAGAAACTTAACAGAAACCCATGGGGGAGGGGAAGAAAAAAAAAAAGAGGTTAGAGCGGGAGAGAGCCAAAGCATAAGAGACTCTTAAAAACTGAGAACAAACTGAGGGTTGATGAGGGGTGGAAGGGAGGGGAGGGTGGGTGATGGGTATTGAGGAGGGCACCTTTTGGGATGAGCACTGGGTGTTGTATGGAAACCAATTTGACAATAAATTTCATATATTAAAAAATAAATAAAAAAATAAAATAAAGTGCTGCCTTTCTAGTGAAAAGAATTCCAAGTTTTTTTTTTTTTTTTTGAGGGGGGTAAAACTATCTTTTTTATAATTCTGCCTCAGTGTTAGAATAATTTCAGATATATAATGGTAAGAGTAGTTATAGGGATTTTCACTATCCTAGGAGGGCAACTTACTGAGTCATTTAAAAAAAAAAATTAATGTTTATTTCTGAGGAGGCAGGGAGGGGCAGAGAGAGAGGGAGACACCGAATCTGAAGCCAGCTCCAAACTCTGTGCTGTCAGCACAGAGCCCAATGTGGGGCTCGAACCCACCAACTGTGAAATCATGACCTGAGCTGAGGTCCGTGCTTAACCAACTGAGCCACCCAGGCTGCCCTTTATCGAGTCATTTTTAATGTTTCCCAAGACATATTATTTTCCAGGTAGTATTCTTTTATTATTGTTATTATTACTAATTTTAAGGAGGAAAGCTTGGAAATGTGATGAATCTTTCGCTTAGGACTGATTTACTTGTTTTAAGGTCTTTTCGGCTTTTATCACACTTAGGAATGTTTGCCAACTAATAAAATTTCAAATGCTGTTTACGTTTTGCTGTGTGTTTTTTTTTTAGAGAGAGAATGCAACTGGGGGAGAGAAGCAGAAGGAGAGAGAGAGAGTGCATGAGATGGACAGACGGGGAGAGGGAAGGAGAGAGAATCATATGCAGGCTCCATGCTCATCAAGGAGCTGGACGCAGGGCTTGATCCCCTGATGCTGGGACCATGAACTGAGCTGAAATCAAGAGTAGGAAACACTGGGGCGCCTGGGTGGCGCAGTCGGTTAAGCGTCCGACTTCAGCCAGGTCACGATCTCGCGGTCCGTGAGTTCGAGCCCCGCGTCAGGCTCTGGGCTGATGGCTCAGAGCCTGGAGCCTGTTTCCGATTCTGTGTCTCCCTCTCTCTCTGCCCCTCCCCCGTTCATGCTCTGTCTCTCTCTGTCCCAAAAATAAATAAACGTTGAAAAAAAAAATTATAAAAAAAAAAAAAAGAGTAGGAAACACCACCAACTGAGCCACCCAGGCGCGCCTGTGGTTCAAGAGTTCTACACCTGTTTTCTCATTTGCTCCCCATCTTCTCATTCAGCCCTGTGAAGTGGGCAGCACTGATTTATTCTCTGGGGTTGGCAGGTGAGTGTGATCAAGTAACATGCAAACACGCCCAAGGTCATGTGACCTGCCAGAGGCAGAGCTGGGTGTAGAACCCAGGATTTCTGGGTAGAATGTCATCTACTCCACTACATTCTAAGGATACAGAGCAAAATAAAAGGGGGAGGGGAGAAGGCTTTTTCTTGTCCCTCCCGTAGCCATCTCATCTTTTGTTTTATGTGATAAGTGCCTTCTCAAGGATTACGTGGCTTAAAATTTGGTGCAGAACAAGGACCATTATGGGTGATGAGCTTAGAAAGCACCATATGTCCTTCAGAGACCGTAATACATCATGCCGAGAGCAGAAAACTGGGGGAAGAGGGCAATCTGAACCACGATTATTTTATTCCCTATAAGCCTTCATAAAAAAACCAGGTTTACTATGTAAATTGAAAGAAACCAGAAATCTTTAAAGCCATCTGGATGATTTAAGTATATATATATATTTTTTATAGCCTCCTCTTAAGAAGGATCAGAAAAACTCAAGACGATAGGAAAGTAAGCCGGCATGGAAACTATTGCCCAGCTGACCGCTTTATCCCGAGCTTCCTGGGCTTCAAAGAAGCGGCTCAACAATTTTGAGAAGAAATATAATGGTAACGGCAGCGGCTGCGGGAGCCTAACAGACGGAGGTAAGGCATCCGAAATACTGAACAGGCCTCTTGGGGCAGACTCCCACCCGGAGCTGCGTAAAGTCTGCTTAATTAAATGTGCCTTCTATTATGGTCTTTGGTGATTCACTGAGGAGGAAGAAGAGGCAGTGACCTTGTATCGAATCACGGCAAAGGCAAAGACTGCATGTTAATTCTCGTGTTGGTAGGAAGGTGTTAATAACGTCTCCAAGTTGGACGGCTCCTGCCGGAGGACTGACTTCTCTAGGCCTTAAAGACAGCGCCCGGCGCCCCGGCTTTAGCTGTTGGGTGCTGACTAAGCACCTTTCGAGCTGCCTTCAGTTGAAAGACAGAGGAGGCGGAGGAAATCCTCACTGGGCCAAATCTATCCCCTATGAGAGGGCAGGCTTAATGAGAATCGGCCCTGAGCCCTGGCTCGGCAGTGCTTCTGGAATGCACGTGATTTACAGCCAGCAGGGGCTGCAGAGTTTTCTGCCTTAGTCTCTCTTTCTCATGTTTGAAAAACTTGCACGGCCAAAATTTTAATTTCAGCTAATGAAGGCAAAGAGGAAAAAAAAAGAACACGGTAGCTTTACAGCACGCACACAAGGCCTGGAGGAGATAGGAAGACGAACGCACGTTAGAGCTAACGACTGTGGGGAGCTTCCAGAATAAGTGGAGAATAAGTGGACACGTATACAAACAGGGCAACATAGCTGACAAACAGAAGCGTGAGCCAGGTTCTGTGGAAGCCTAAATATCATGCATTTTCCATTTTCCTTCGGGAGCCTTTCTTCGTCGTGACGGAATGGTCCTATGTTATGAAACCATCTTTGACATGGCACGTGACGTCCAACCAACAGGACTGAGTTGTAACGATTTACTTTCTACAGGTGAGGCTCCTTGGTGGGCATGGTGTTTTCCCCAAGCCCAAAGGTAATATATTAATAAGGTCTTGAAAAGTTCAACCAGTATAGACAGGGCTGAAGTCGTACTTGACTCCTTTTTTTTTTTCCACCTCATCATCTCTCAATTTGAATCCCTGGAAGGTAGTGATCAACATTTCGGTTTGGTGAACATACTTCCAGATCTTTTTTGCTTGCATTTATACACACAGACACATAATCACGCGTACACACAAACATTCAGAGATACAAACACACACACACATGCACACATTGAGAGAAAACTATGAAGTTTAAAAAATAAATGTGACAATTCTATATACAGAATTCACTTTCAACTTGCTTTCTAACTTGGGATATGTCAGTACATAGGGACATCATTTTTAACGGCTTCGTACTGTTCCACAATGTTGATGTGCCTTAATCAATAACTTCCTATGAGTTTATAATTTTGTTACCCACAGATGATCCCCCCCTTTTTTTTTTACCATCTCCAATATCACAAAGGATGTCATTTTACCTGTCCCTAGTATTACAAAAGCAAGTATATATCTAGGGTAGATGTGGACACGTAGATTAGCTGAATTAAAAAGTCTGAGATTTTAAAATTTTTAAATAGAGGAACATGGCCAAAAAACTATTCTACCAGCAACAGTTTGGCCCATATTTGTCCCAATATGACATTGTTAATCTTTTCAACCCTTTGATAATCTGACGGATTAAAAGCAAATAGAATTTCATTGTTTCATTTTGCATTTTCCTGGTGGTGGAAATAAGCACTTAAAATAGTTTTCAATTTCTTGGGGTGCCTGGGTGGCTCAGTTGGCTAAGCATCCAACTCCTGATTTCGGCTCAGGTCATGATCTCATGATTCCTGAGATGGAGTCCTGCATCGGGCCCTGTGCTGTCTTTTCTCTCTCTCTGCCCTTCCCCCGTTCATGCGCGTGCGCACGCGCTCTCTCTGTCTCTCTCAAAATAACTAAATAAACTTAAAGCAATAGTTTTCAATTTCTCTTTTTCTTTTCTAAGTAAGCCCAGAGTTAATAGTAGGGTGTTTACAGACTCTATGTGAAAGGATTGGCCAGAGATGGAAATTGGCTCTCATATTATTGTTAGTTTCTAATTTTACCAAATTGTAATCAGCTCGTGTGGCCTGTGTGATTTTTGCTTTTTGGAATTTGATGAGATATGCTTCATGATCTAATTCTTGGTCAGTTTATGTTCCATGTATGCTTAAAATAACGTGTATTCTTTGTTTATTAGTTACAAATCTCTACATAAATCATATTTGGTTAATTGTTTTATTAAATATCTATCCTTACATATTTTTAGTCTTCTTGAAATGGTAATTTCTAGATGTATGGTAAAAATGTCTTTCTACGACATGAATTCATGAATTTTTCTTTGTATTTGAATTAGTGGTTGTTTTAAAGACCTCCATGTTATGTTGTTAAGTGCCAAAAGGTTTGTGAATGTTTTATGTTCTTTTTTTATTTGTTTTTAATTTTTTTTAACGTTTATTTATTTTTGAGACAGAGGGAGACAGAGCATGAACAGGGGAGAGGCAGAGAGACAGGGAGACACAGAATCTGAAACAGGCTCCAGGCTCTGAGCTGTCAGCACAGAGCCCGACGCGGGGCTCGAACTCACGGACCGTGAGATCATGACCTGAGCCGAAGTCGGATGCTTAACCGACCAAGCCACCCAGGCGCCCCTATGTTCTTTTTTTAAATGTTTATTTATTTGTGTGTGTGTGTGTGTGTGTGTGTGAGAGAGAGAGAGCGCGCGCGCGTGCGCGCGTGCAAGCGGGGGAGGGGCAGAGAGAGAGGGAGACAGAGGATCTACAGCAGGCTCCAAGCTATCGTTGCAGAGCCCGATGTAGGGCTCAGACCCACGAACTGTGAGATCCTGACCTGAGCTGAAGTTGGACGCTCAACCAACTGAGCCACCCAGGTGCCCCATGAGTGTTTGAGTGTTTTATCTTCTTGACAGATTTCTTTCATCAATGTGAAATATTCCTCTGGTTTTTTTTTGAAAATTTTTGCCCTTGATTGTATTTTGTCTGAAATTTATATTGCTAAAACTATATTCCTTTTATTAGGCTTTGCCTGGCACATCTTTATTTTCCAATTTACTGGGTCCTTTTGAATACCTACGCTTGCAGTGTTCCCTTGTGTTGCAGTGGTTCTTTGATGTGATCCTTTTGGACTGTGTTTTCTTCATGGACGTCATAATCCTACCTGCCTTCTGTTTTTCAGAGATTCTTCCCTTGTTTTCATGACTATAAATGAAAATGCATGTGTGTGCGTGTGTGCATGTGCATGTGTCCATATGTACGTGTGTGTGTGTGTGTGTGTGTGCATGTGTACGTGCGTGCATGTGTGTGTGTGTGTGTGTGTGTGTGTGTGTTTTCCTGTCATTTAAGGCAGGCAGGAAGGAGGACATTATGTGCTCGGGCTGCCATCTTGATCCAATCCCATGCTTTCCTTAATTCCAGATTTCCTGACCTCTTCCTACCCTAAAACAGTGCTCACCTTTCCTTCCAGCTCAGTTGGTCTGGATGTTGAAGGTGCTGTGACAGAGACGGCACAGAATAAAGTCTGTGAATACGTTTGGTCGGCACGCACCCGTTGAAAACCTACTTTGGTTTCCATTTCTTTATGGCCCAAAAGTTGGTTTCAGCCTGAAATGCTACAACTTAAGTTTCACTAGCATGCATTATTCAGTAACGGCTTACATAGCTCAGTGTTATCATCTTCCCATCTCATTTCCAGAAAGGTCTGTTTAATTTGTGAACAGTCCATTTTAGACCACACTAAGTAACATCACAATATGGCTATTCTTCTGGGTGATATATTGGCAATATGTATATCCTCGTTTCTTCCATGGAAGAAATATGTCTAAAGGCCGCTAACTGGACCATTGGCAAGGCCTGGCACGAACTAACTGCAATGAAACTCTTACCAAGTTTTGGCCATTAAAGGTCGCATTTAGAATGTACTATTTTTAAAGTCAGCGGGAAGAAAAAGCTCACATTATTTATAAAGGACTGGTACTCTATTCATTCTCTTATTTTATTTAAAACATTCTCACCTCATTTTCTATGTTTTATGTTTTCCTTTTAGGTACAGAGTTTATTTTCATTTACAGGGCATCAAACCCCCAACCGTAGGATTTCAGACTAAAAAGATCTTAATGAGGTTAGGCTCATCCTACGTTTGAGAGTTTTTGTGCCTGGCTCAAGTTCACATACTGACTTTGTGGCAGAGCCGGCATCAGAATGTGGGTTGCCTGAGCCCAGCACGCTGTTTATACGTAAATTTACATTCACGAAAGATTTTGAAAGATCCCATCTCATCCTCAAATTACTAAAAAAATTCCAGGAAAGACCAGATGGCAAGCATGAATAATCTCAATTTTCATAGGAGGGGAGACTGAAAAGGAAGGATGAATTAATGACTTGCTTAAAATTATCCACATTAGGAGTTGTCAGAAAAATGACGTGGACTCTTTACTACCAGGCCTGGGCATCTAAGAGCCTCTCCATCTTCTTATCCCACAAGGCCACTTCCTAAAAGGACCGAGGTGCCTCCTCAAGGAACTGTCTCACGGCTTAATCCCTAGAGGAACCCAAAATACAGATTCGCTGTTGAATTGTTAACATATTAAGTGTCTTCTTGATTTGTGGCGACCTTAGAAAAAACTCAGCAAAGTCAGAGCCAGGTTGTCCTTTGTAAACTGGAGAATGATTCACCTATTATTCCAGATAAAGTAAAAGGATGAATCACAGTGTGGCTTTAAATTCCTTCCAGCTCTTTGTTTATTGTTTCCTCTTATATGGAATTCTATTTATTCATTAATCTAGCCCCAGCTCCTAACAAATGGGGCATCTACCAGGCCCTCGAGTAAACATTTAGTACTAGGCCTTTGTGCTCTGTGTAGGATTCCTGGAGCCCTCTTTCTACCTCTAAGTTATGAATAGGTCTTTAGACTCTAAGGAGTTGGCAAATTCTTTTAGATTCTAAGAGCCTAAGAGTCTGCAAACTATGGCTGGTGGACCAGCCACATGTTTTTGTAAATAAAAACTTTTATTTGAACACAGTCAGGCCCATTCATTTGTATATTATCTATGGCTGCTTTCCCTACAGGGCAGAGCTGAACAGAAATGACAGCAACTGAAAGGTCTTAAAAGCCTAAGACTTTTACTATCTGGCTCTTTGCAGAAAAAAAAAAAAAAATTGCCAATACTTGCGTTTAGAATCTATTTGCCGCCTTTTATGGTCAACCTGGAGTTGAGCCAGCGTCTAGCAAAACAGCAAATGCGCCATGACAAATGTTCATAGATCAGCAAAGCACTAACCTAGTCACGGAAGTCTAATTTGGTGTTACAGATTCACAGGCTTAGCTAATATGTAAATCAGCAAGCATAAGTAATGATGATTTCTGCTTGCATGGCACTTTCCAGACTAGGAAATATTTTATATGTTATCTCATTTGATCCTTCCAGTAACCTTAGAAAGTGGGCAAGAGACAGATTCTGAGACATTGCGTATCCTAGAGTTGAACTTGGAATCACGCGTTTTATTTTAGCAGCTAAAATGATTCCTTTATCTTTGGAAAACTTTTCCTCCAGAGAAATAAAAGAAGAAGGGAGGAACTATTAACATTTGTCATCTTATAACGCACTGTTCTGAAATAATGTATTGGTAGATCATTTGCAACTAATTGTATTTTGTCACAACATGTTCTGTCTCCCTAATTTGTGCATTTATGTCAATAAGGTGATAATAAAAATGACATAAGCATTTGATTTAATGGTCTAAAAAGTCAAAATAAATATAAGCCTCACTGAGTTATAAGTGAAAAATGAAATCTTAAATTTTTGAAATCTTAGAACCTTCAAGCTAAGTCAGTTATCTGGCTTTCTTGGATTAACCAAATTAAAAGACAAAAAACAAAAGTCTTGGAGTAAGCAAGGAAAAATAAGTCTTAGTAAAAATAGGAGTATATATAAAAAATATAAGTACCACATCTAGGAAAATGGGAAATATGAGTTATATAGTGCTCTGTTGTGAGTCAAATCATATTGAGATAAGTATTTTGATAAAGGCAACAAACCTGTAGATGACTGTTACATATTGTTTTGCATTACATAACAATTGATCTTCGTGTGAGCAAACAGCTTATAAAGGATTTCTAGTTGACCAAAACATGGCTGTATCCATCTTGGAACAGTATTAAAATCAGTACAACCTACTGTAGGACTCCAACTATATGCCATTCAGGAAACGGCAAAACTATGGAGACAGTGAAAAGATCAATGGTTGCCAGGGCATGGCAGGAGGGAGGGATGAACCCGAGGAGCACAGAGGATACTCTAATAATGGATACAGGTTGTTATAAAGTTGCCCAAACTTAACACCAATAGCAAACCTTAATGTAAACTACCGCCTTTGGGTGAGGATGTGTTAAGGTAGGTTCATCATTTGTAACAAATGTGCCACTCTGGTGAAAGGTGTTGATAGTGGGGAAGGCTGTGCATGTGTGGGGGGCAGGGGGTACATGTGAAATCTCTCTGCTTTCCACTCAGTTTTGTTGTGAAGCTAAAACTTCCCTAATAAATAAAGGCTATTAAAACAATTTAGTACAATGGGCTAGCAAAGGTCACATTCTATATCTGCCTCAGAAGCTTTATAGAAATGTGTATTAAATATGTTTTGGGTTTTTTGTTTTTTGTTTT